GGGGTTCCTGGACCATGTACCATTGGGGGGGGAGGGGGGGTGGGGAGCCGCGGAGCGCCTGACCATAGATACACACATCCCGACATGTAGTATCTGTATATGTTATAACATAATATGATCGATATCGTGCGGTAGTTCTACATATGCATACAAGCCGCTCTTTGTTTATGCCGGCTACTCCATGGTTCTGGCAAAGCGATGGGTGTCACGATCCCTGTTCGAATTGATCTGATTTACGGTAGACTCTGAGCATTTCAGATGTCGACGCGCGCTCCTTACAAAACTCTCTACATGTGTTGAGATGTGTGAAATGTTTACAAGTTCCTGCAGGTTCCGGGAGGCTTGTCTGCATTTCTCCACGTTTCGCCCTTGTTACAGTCCAAACACAGTTACAGTATAATGGCCCCCCCAAAGCCCTATTCCAGTTCTTAGATGTCCCGGTTTCGATACCTTGCTCAAAAGCTTCATGGACACACGACTCAACTTCCACATTTTCCGGCGGTGTTGTCTGCAAATCATGATCTAATCGTGAAATCTCCTGTTTACTCGTATTCGGAGCTGCGGCTCAACCGAGATACCAAAATCCCGCAGCCCCGTGCCCCATGAGAACACAACTTTGTAACCAAAAGCACCAACCTAATTACCGTTGTTGAAACCGTAGTACACCGTCTTTCCCAACCTCTCAATCCAACCTATCAACATTGGGAGCTCGTTACTCAGCTAGTTTCTTGAGTTGGTCCTTGGTCGCCATCCTTGTAGACCCAGCCTGTGGAAGGGATTAGGGGGTACTTGGAGGATCATGGGACTTAGTAAGTAAGGTTATAAGTCCCTTAATTGGGGTTACAAGTATAGTTTCCCTAATTATTATAACCCTGCTTACTAAGTCCCATGATCCTTTAAGTAGAGTTTGCAAGGGAAACCACAGTCACCGGGAAACTTGGGCTTTAGCCTGGGGCTCCTGATGGCGGCCATGTTGGGATGAAGGATTGCGGGTTGCGGTCTTTACTAACCTTACCGGCACAGTCGCTGCAGGTATCCTTATGGAAGGGGCTTAAGGCAATAAAAGCAATAATGCTCAGCAGCCCCATCAACAAAGATAAACCCTAAACTAGATCCCTTGCCTCTGGACCTCTAAACACAACAACCCAAAAGCCTTACCATTGAGGTTTAGCCGAATAACGGCTGCAGAGCTGGTGGTTTCCAACTCCGACGGACCTACATTCGACTGAGAGGTTCGGGGGACTGGGGGACTTAGTAAGGTCCCGTGAAGGTTCCAGAAAGGTTAAATCAACATCTCCATAAGGCTTCTAGGAATTCTTTACGAAGGTTTGGGGGTTCTTAGATGTCCAGGGACTTAGAAAGCAGGACTATAAGTACCTAATAGATAGAGATGTTAAGATATAACTAGAGTTAGCTGGCTTATCACCCTACCGTAGGGGCCGTAATAATTAGAATAGGGTTTTGGTGGCCCATTATACTATACTTGTAACAAGGAAACCACCGAAATAGAATAGGTCACTATTTAGGCCCACATATGTATGAGTGTAGATAGGTACTATGTGTCTGTATACATGAAGCCTAAACCTTAAACATGCATGCATGAGCGAAAGAGCCATCCTTCACTGGAACGCATGATACGGCACACTAAACCTGTGCTATCCACCGAAAGACCCCACCCCAACACTCAACCCTGAACGGCTGATCCAACAATAAAGAAATATGATAGAGCACCATAGTATACCGTAGTATAGGATGCAACAATCTAGCACCTTACTGCGAGATAAACTAAGATACGATGCCAAGCCTAGACCGTGGGTGGAAGGCTTCTTGCTCATTGCCCTGGTAGATCTAATCCCTCAGGCCGGCGTTTAGACATCTTGCGCTCAGATGTCGATGAAGTCAGGGCCGTCAGGGGCGCATGAAGAGGGTTCTCTGCATTTGATGCCTTGGAGAAGCACCCGGAGCTCCTTCAGAAGCTTCGGGCAGAGCAGCCACGTGGTATCCTTCCTGCCCAGTCGTATGTTGTGATATCCAAACCACCAAGGCGATCAAGGAGAGGTACATCAAGCAGGAGGCGCAAAGAAATCGCGCCAGCCTGTTATCGATCTTCAAGAAAAGCCTATAGCCGAAGATCAAAGGTAGCGATCCGAGCACTGCTCCCGCAACTCCCTCGTAGAGCTCTTGCACAGGCCGCCCGTTCAGAAATTGCAAGATGCCGACCCCGACAATTGCTAGAATAATGAGCATGAGGTTCATGAAAGTCAAAACAGCATCATGATAGACCATGTTGACGGTCAGTGCCTCCGCGACCATGCAAAGGTCCCAAAGCAGGCTCAGGACAGGAATAGAGTCGACAAAGATATAGTTCGAAGGGCTATGCACTGCGACTCCAATCCAAAGACACATTGTGCCGACGCCACCGATGACGACCCCGCTGGTGGCACTTAAGGCGTGCGAGTACACATACCTCCAGGTGAGGTAGGCTTCTGCTGCCACCCACAGCAGACCGACAAGCATCGCTAAATTGGGGTGCCAGTGCCGAAGCGCATGAAAGATAGCAATGAAAGCGACTTCCAGAAACAACAGAGAAGGCCCAGCAGCAACCGACCCCGCCGTCAAGGGCAGCTTTGCAACCTCCACCCCATACTTTTCGCAGAGAAGCTGCAGAAGAAAGAGCTGGCAGTTATGAAAATGCAACTCGTAGAATGCATCGCCAAGTGGCAGCTTGCTTGCCCGTTTGCGAAGATCGTGAGGTGATGTGTCCTTTATACAAATAAGGTCCAGGCAAGTGAGAACACCGGCAGACTTCGGCAATTGGAGCTTAAACTTCCCTGTCATGATGAAGTTTTTTCTGCCACTCCTGTGGAGGAAGCCGAAGAGGCAATGCTGGACAGATTCTCGTAGCTGATGTGGCCAGATGTGCTGAAACGGCCAGACGTACTCAACAACTGCGCGAAGCTTGCTGAATTCCTCACACCAGTGCTCGTCCTCCTCGTCGTCCTGGTTTTCTTCCTGACGGAAGTCTGGGCCAGGAGGTGGAGTACGGCAACCTGTTGCAAAGGAATACAAATGGCGCATCTTGTAGCGACTTTGGAGCATCCGGTAGCCCATGAGCTCCATTGAGTAGACCTCGCCCTTCTCGAAAATCCACAGAGAGCACCAGTGCGATGCAAGACCACCGCCGATGATGAGAACGTATGCTTTTTGCAGCTCCGAGTTTACATCGTCATCGGGTAGCACGATGTCCTCATGACTCGGAACTGTTGCCGTTCTTACTAAGCCTGTTGGTGCCATGGTTATGAGGCCTGCATCATCCTGCGTCTCATGAAGGCCGGCACAGATGGCTCATCACCAAATTTCCATCAGGCTCGCATGAAGCTAGACTACAGGGGCAAATTCGGTTTTTCGGATGTGTTATAGTATACTTCTATTCAACTATGCAAGCGTTCGAAAGCGATGCGATTCCGAATCAAACCGACCTCTGCATGAATACACAGTTGTTGAAACCTAATGATGTGGGTTAGAAGACACCACACCAGCAGAATCAATGCCTCTGTCGCCTGAACTACCGCATTCAGTGCAACTTCTGCATTCACCACTGAAGAACCCTGGGCTCTAAATGCGCCGAACCGTCGGCTCAGGGCAGGCACAAAATAGCAGCTGCCTCGGACCGATCATGAACATCCGAGGGCTAAGAATGCTCCATCCCAGCTTGAGTCTTGTGGTGCTCTGCACTTTGGGGTTGCTCTACCGGTATTCTGGTCTTCAGGTCGCGCAAACTATATGGTCGCCGAGGAGCCTGAGTCCAACTGCAAAGCGCCGCGCAAACCCTCCAACTCTAAACCCTAAAGCCTAGATAATCCCTAAACCCTGACTCAACCACAATCTAAGACAGAAAAGGGCCTCAGCCAGAGGATCTAAACGAAAACGGGCCCAAACAAGCATACTGTAAAACTGTAAACCCTTGATTCACAAACCTCCCTCCCTTAAAGGGGCTACTACACAAGGCACAAGAAACCTAGCAAAATTGCCCTTAAGAAGCGGTGGTCGTCTGCCAATCACGGAACCACGTTATGGGGGGGGAGGGGGGTTTAGGGTTTAGGGTTCTTAAACTCCAAACCTAAAGCCTGAAACTTCTTTATAGGGTGAAGATCAAGGCGGTTGAATTTGTTGATTTCGCGAGTTCATGTCGCGGAGCTTCATGAAAGCTTCACAGCCCGGGAAAGAATCGAAAGCTTTGGGGTACAGGGTTTCTGGGCTTTAGGGCTATAGGGTTAACTATAGGAGCCTTAATAATTAGAATAGGGTTTGGGGTACAGTATATAATACAAAAAGAACCCCCAAAAACCATATTCTAATTACTCACTACATTAGGCCAGTGCTTGGGTCATGGTCCATCAGGTCCCGAACCCGGGCACCCTAAGCCTACACCGGCTCGAAACTCCTGGGAGGACGACGGGGTAGGGTTTAGGGTTGTATGGGACTTAGCCAGATAACCTAAACATCGAAGCTTATACTTATACCAGTACAGGGGGACTTGTGCGCGTAGGCCTATGGACCCATGCCAGGTTCTTTAATTGGAAATTCTGGGTGCCGACTGGGCCCTTTATTTTTGGACCCACCCACGCTGAAACCTATGCACTTAAGCCTACGCCGTACATCCCAGACCCTAAACCCTCACTAAACACCTCACACCCCAAATCTTGAAACCCAAGAAAGACAACCTGAACTCCTAAGTACATCGTAAGCCCCAAAATTTACTAAACACCTTCAGATCGAACCCTTTAAGCCCGAGAAACCCGAAGTCCGAAGGTCAAAGCCTTCAAGCTTCGGTTCGCTTGAGAGTCTACAGGTCGGCGCTTGGGCTTTTTTGGGATTCGTTCATGAGGCTTCGGCTTTTGAAACTTTAAGGTTTCGGGTTTGCAGGAGCTTTTTGGGAGCCGAATTTCAAAGGAACTTTGGAGGGAACTTTAGAGTTTCGGATTCAAGGTTATGGTTAGGGTCTAAGGTTTATAGGGTTTGTAAGGTTTAGGGTTTAGGATGTGTAAGGTTTAAGGTGTATAAGGTTTAGGGTTTAGGGTCTAAGGTTTGAGGCGCACAAGGTTTAGGGTATTTAGGGATTGAGGCTCCCTTTGGACTTGGACCAGCCCCGGCCTGGCTTAGTGCCCTTGAAGGACTCAGAGGGCTCGAAGGTGGGACCGGCCTCAGTTCCGCATGTGGATGCTTAGAACAGTATAACGGTATAGAGTATGCTATAATAGCAATAAGGGAACTCTGAGGAACAGTGCTGGTACTTTTTATGTGGGCTTGCGGTTTAGGGTTTTAGTTCTATAGAGATCCTTCCCTCCTTATAGGATCAGGCTTTAGGGGTTCTACATGGGGATTTGGGTTCGAGTTCGGTTTCCATAACCCTTCAAGGTTCTCAAACCCCTGGGGCAGCAAGGATTGATGTGAAACGCCAAGGCCCCCCCCCCTCCTCTTGCTGCCAAAAATCCATCGCTTGCTGTATTGGCTTCACCTGGGTCTGCACCTTGACGGGGGCTACCAAAAAGTCCCATTTAACTTGAATTGGCATCCAGTCTAAGAGTTGGTGGATTTGAAACTCAAGGGTCGTTGGAGGAAAGCCCTTCACCTTATACCCGACAGCCAGCTTTTTGCGTTGCAGTATATCATCCCAGCAAGGCGAAACCCGAATAACCCTCCGCCCAACTGCCAACACCCTAAACTCTAGCCTAAGGGAATGCCATTGTTTATTTCCGATTTCCTCCCGCGCTTCCTCCTTTGGTGTGGTTCGCCACTGTGGGACTCCTACGCTCTTACCTAAACCTACCGCACTCCCTTAAACCCTAAACTGCCCTAACCCTAGACCGCTTAAAGCCGTAAGCATTTCATGGTTGGGATCTTTCAATCACGAAGGGTCCTCAAGCTAACTTCATGGAAGAAGGAAAGTTCTGAAACTTACCGGACGGAACGGAGCCATGGAACGGCTTCCCTGATCACACTGAACCCTTGCGCAGCAACCCTTTTGAATTCAGGCTGGGCTAATAAAAAAAGGCTTGACCCAAGCCTCACCATACCCGATTTTGTCTTAAAGCCCTAATTCCGAAACCCGGAACTTTTGGTCTTGAAGCACCCATGCTGCTTTCTTAAAGCCCTACAAACCCTAAATCCGGAACTGTTTTGTTAAAGCACCCATTCTGCAGCATCTTTCGCGGCTTCCTTGGATTTCTTAGCGGCATCCTTGACTGCATCCTGGACTTCGTCGGATTTCGCCTTGCTTTACGGGCTCTTGGGGGCTTCGGGGGTTAAAGGGTTGAAGGGCGTTTGGGTTTAGGGCTTAGGGTTTTGGGGGCCTAGGCTTTATTATAGGTGTACGGTGTAGGTGTTGATAAAGTGTTTGTTGTCACAGTTTAGTGTTTGATAGGGAGTGTAGAGTTTACTTCTTTACGGCTTGAAGGCCATTCAGTAGTTTGGGCTCCAGCACATGGAACCGCAGCAAGCATCGCGGCTGTGTGACTACTTAGTAACTACTTTTACCTGATCACACGAGACTGCTATCTCCAAGGCCATGCCCTCACCTCCCGTCAGTGCTCCACAACAAAACGAACAAGCAGGTAGCAAAGGATCAGGCACAACAATGTTCGTGCCGTGGCATCCGAGTTGTGCCCGATGGCCAACAGTAGTCTAACCCCCAAACAAGCTGCCAGTCTTACAAAAGGCAAATCACAGTTCGGGGTGTAGGATGCAAGGTCCTGGGATGTCTCGGACGCACATAAATGCTTGCTCGGAATTGGTCTGTAAGATCAAATGGACGAAGTAGAAATGCGACTTCTTGCAGGGCTCATCTCACGACAACGAAGATGACGGAAGATTTGAATTAGGATGCTTACAGGGTGGGGCAACTCAACCTCAAACCCCCCGGCAGACACAATATTGCTTCGGCACCCATTCCACAGCAGCTTTGGCGGCATCCTTGGTCTTGTCCACGGCACCCTTTACCGCGTCCTGGACTTCGTCAGACTGTGCCTGGGCGTGATGATGTTGGCTGCGGACGCTCCGGGCCAGTAAGACTTAGATTGGCATTTGGGGATGCCTTGAAAGGCTTCTATGCGTTGACAGGCGTGGCTGACGAAGAAGAAGCTGCAGATTGGGGGGTTCCGGATGGTTGGCCCCGTACTGGTTTTGTGCGAAGAAAGCCTATATCCCCTCAGCCCCAGCCCCCCGGAGCGGATGTTGGCTTTGAGCTTCGGCACCCATTCCACAGCAGCTTTGGCGGCATCCTTGGTTTTGTCCACGGCACCCTTGATGGCATCCTGGACTTCGTCGGACTGTGCCTGGGCATGGCAAGACCTAGCACGCCTTGTTGTTAGGTCGTCGCAGCTTGGGATTCACAGCAGGTCTTTCAGCGATTAGCACTAGGCCCGAGGTCGCAACATGCATCGGTTTCATTGTCAGGTAGCGTTGGATTGGGGGGATTCGGGTGCTGGGCGAATGCAACATACATCTTGAACTTGGCGTTTGGGATAGCGGCGCGCACATGCGCTGCAGTGATCTCAGCGAAGTTCACTTCAGGACATAGGAAGATATGGGGAGTCTCAAAAAGGCAAGGGACTCCGAAAGACGACAAAAAAACAACCTGCTCGTTGTACTTTCCAAAATCCGTGCGTAGGCCTGCACACGAAATCGTGAAACCTTGAAGCTCTCAAGCCTGAAATCGTGAAGACCGCCCCAAATTCAAAAGGAGGCACCCACGCCACGGCACCCTGGATGGCACTTTTGGCTCCGGCTACCCCCATCTGCAGGGCATCGGCGAGGGCCTCTCTTTGTGGGGGCCACTGGATCGGCTTCTGCGTGGTGATCACAAGGTTGCATCCTGGAAAGGTGAGTGTTATACATATTGTGTACCTGTCAGGGTGTGGCGTGCGGGTGTGCGGGCATTCAACGTCATCTCATATCGTGCAGAGTGAGTCACGCGGGTCTCACACAGCCGGGGCAGGACCCAAACCCTCACGGATCATCTCATTCTGTGTTGTTTTGTTTTGCAGTTCTGTATGCCATTTTTTACGTCGGGCATACTTGGTACATCTCGGTGCCAACAATCTCATTCTCGTTGTCACCATCTCCTCATCCTCATCTACATCACCATTAGCACCATCATCATCATCACCACCCTCATCATCCGCTTCATGTTGCCAACCGTGAGTGCAAATGCGGACCTTCTTTGAGAAAGTGTGATACAACGGTTCTCCATCATTGCGCCGCGGTGGTCTCCATTGAGACAGTCCTCGATGAAA